GCCATCAATAGCCCTTGCCTCCATGAAGTTGTCTAATCCTTTTTTTTAAAGTCCAACAGAATCTACGGGTTCACAGGTTGCTCCATCAGTGGAGTAAACGGCTGCCCCCTGGAGAAGGGTTATCTGTGCCTCTGCACTGAACTCATTGTTCTGCCTTCTCTGTCTCTCCAACAGAGTGTGATATATATTTGGACATTACATATTAAATGCAGGCATTTCTTCTTTCGGAAAATGAATTTGCTGACAAAGGAACTTTAACTTTGACAGCTAAGGTAGCAAATTAATCCCCTACATGATCGCTGGAGAATTAATCACTCTCCTTCATCTCTTGCATGATTCCCGGGCTGATTTTTTGGCAGATACACACTATGTTTCCTATTATGCACTGTCAGATTTATCTTGGTCAGAGCAAAAAGCTGATATTTAACCAAGTTATTTGGATTCAATCATTACAGTGCCATTTAAAAAGAAAAAGGAAAGCTGCCTCGAAAACTACCATTGCCCATTGCTGAAAACTCCAGAGAATTCATGTGATTAAATTGTCATGACAAATCTCTCTCTCTCTCTCTCTCTGAAACTCCTATAAACAAATTGTTGCCCCATCTAGTCCAATATAGTCTATAGAAGGAATGCATAATCTTTTTCCACCCAAGAACTGCATTCCCTCGTGGCGACCCTTCTGCGGGTTAAGGGTCTGCATGTCAGTGGTGGATGGAGCCAGAAAGTGCATGTGACATACATTGATTGATTGATTGCAGGCCCAGTTCAAAGTGCTGGTCATTTGAAGCCCTTCTTTGTGTGCCCCCTCCATGGAAGGTCCAGAGGGTGGCAATACAAGGATGTGCTTTTTCAGTATTGGCTCCAGAAAGGCTCACCTGGCACCATCATTGAATATCTTTAGGTGCCAAGTGAAAATATTTATTTTTCACCAAGCCTTTGAATGGGTAAGATGTTTTAATCTAGTTTTTTTTAATAAAAAAAATAGAATTGCCTTTTTGGTTTTTCTTTGTGTTTTTATACCCATTTTAATGTATATGTTTCTATTGGCACAGGATAGTTGTCAGGAATGAGCCAGCTCCCAGCGAAGCTTTGCAGCCAACTGCAGAACGCAAGCAGGAACAGAGAGATTTAGATGTTAGTCAGGCAGGGGAGAGCCGGCAGCTGCAGATTTCGGCTCTTCCTGTCCTTGATGGGCAGACTGATAAGGCAGCAGCTGAGAGCAGGCTAGAACACAGTCAAAGCTCACAGGAAGCACAAATGGGGGCGAATAGACTCAGAGACAGCCTCACAGAACAGGAAGAGGTTGGAGCTGATCCACTAAGTCCGAAGAGTCGGCAAATGGGAGGGCTGCAAGATAGGAAGCAAAACAAGAGACGTAAAGGTCGTAAGTTCAATATCTTTTGTCGACGCTGGAAGGCGTCTTCAGAAGGGTCATCTTGAGTAATGATGCTGGAGGCTTTGTTAGAGCTGTCCGGACCTATCTGTTTGCTTTTGCAGTAAATCCTCCTTTCTAATTACCTACACTTACTGTGTTCTCAAGCTGGGAACCTGGACTCCTGACAATAGCTCAGTTGGTTGGAGCACAGTCATGATAACATCAAGGTCGCAGGTTTGATCCCCATTTGGCAGTGGTTTTCAATCAGCATGCTGTGACACCCTGGTGTGCCTTGAATGATAGTCAGGGGTGTCGCGGGCAACACTGGCCTCTGTCCCTCTTTCCTTCCCTCTGATGCCCTCTCGTGTCTCTGCCTCCCAAAGGCTTGCACGGCTGTTTGTTGCAGCAGCCCTGTCTCCAAGCTCCCCAGGTGAATGGTGCCTCCGGGGCTGGCCAGGGGGTGCTGGGTGCCAGGGACTGAGGCGGCCTTGGAGTAAGCAAGCAAGCGGGCAAGGGAAACCAACCAGCTAGTCCTCCAACCCTTGCTGTTGGGAATGGACAGACAAGCCCCAGGCCCCTGTGGGGCAGTGTGAGGAGGCACTTCTCCTTGGGGCAGAGGGGGCAGCTCAGAGACCAGGGGTGGCAGCAGTGGCTGCCTGGAGGATTCCCAAGAAGAGAGGAGAGGAGGCTGAGGGAACACTCCACAAGGGAGGGGTTTGAAAAAGGCTGAGAGGCTGCCAGGTCTGCAGGCAAGGGGTGACATAACTGGGCTCCTGAGCCCCACAGGGGTGCTGCAGAAAAATGGACTTGGTCAAGGGAGCTGTGGACTGAAGAAGAAGAAGAAGAGGAGGAGGAGGAGGAGGAGTTTGGATCTGATATCCCGCTTTATCACAACCCAAAGGAGTCTCAAAGCAGCTAACATTCTCCTTTCCCTTCCTCCCCCACAACAAACTCTCTGTGAGGTGAGTGGGGCTGAGAGACTTCAGAGAAGTGTGACTAGCCCAAGGTTAGCAGCTGCATGTGGAGGAGTGGGGAAGCGAACCCGGTTCCCCAGATTACGAGTCCACCCCTTTTAACCACTACACCACACTGGCTCTCACAGGTTGCAGGGGGTTGGACTAGATGGCTACCAGCTCTATGAGTCTATGATTTGTTTATATTGTGTAAGACAAATCTATAAGGACAATGTGGCAGATTTAGCTCCCCACTCCACCCACCGGCTGTGTAGTCACTTCCTAGCTTCCGATGAATTAAGGAGGGTTGCCTTTGTTCTGCCACTCCTCCATCTTCAGCTACCACCGGATCTCTCTCTCTCTCTCTCTCTCTCTCTCTCCTCTTTTCCTCATTCACCCTTGGAAGGAGAGGAAGGTTGGGGGCAGCAATTGTCGTTTGTACACCACGCATAATAGGCCCTTTTTTTTTGCAACTGACTGGCAGCCCAGATCCGGATTACCATCTGCCTCCCACTGCCCCCGCCAAGCTTTTCGGTCCAGATTAAAGGCCTTGGCTGGATCAGCCTGTTTCACCAGCAAGTCTTTTGACATCCCCGTCATTGAAGAGCATTAGGCGTTGTAAGAAGGACTTACATATATTTTATATATCTATATAAAAATAAAGTTGTGCGAGTGTTTTATTAGAAAGTGCAGGAGGCGGGGGAGGAGGACGGGAAGGGACCAAAATTAGAAACAATTATCCTGCTCTTTCTCCCACCCCCTCTGCAAGGCAAAATATATATCTGTTCCTTTGCCACTGCTGCAGATTAAAAACGAGGCTATGGTGTCCCTCCCTGAACATTTTTTTGCTAGTCTTATCAAAACCAGGGTTGCTTCCCAAATTCTTCTCCTCTAAATGCCTCCCCCAATTTTTGGAGTTCTAACATACCTGGTCTTGGGGGAGCAGTTGGACTGAAACCAAAGCAAACAGGGAGCTGCCCCACCAGCTTCAGACCACATTCACACATTATATTTAAAGTGTTGTGACACCACTTTCAAGCGTCATGGTTTCACCCAAATAATTCTGGGAGCTGTAGTTTGTTCAAGGTGTCGAGAGTCATTGTGGGGGCCCTATTCCCCTCCCAGAACTCTACTTTCCAGAAAGGTTGAACAATCAATCCCTCTTCACGGGGAACTCTGAGAACTGGACCTTTGGGAGGGGAATAGGGGTCTCCTAACAGCTCTTAGCACCTCCAACAAACTACAACTGCCAGAATCCTTCAGGGGAAGGCATTACTGTTTAAAGCATCATCATAGCGCTTTAAACGCATGGTGTGAATGCGGCCTTTGTCCTCCCCACACCAGCTGTCCCCTGCCAGCCTTCATACTTACAACCACATCTGGGGGTAGCCCGGGTTGACAGCTTCTTCTGCAGTCTTGGTGTTGCCCTTGCAGAACTCAGCAGAGACGAGGATGGTGGATAGAAACCTGTTATTGGCTCTGGCACCACCTACTCTTCAGCTCCATGCTTTCCTCCCTACCAGTCTTGGTGTGCACCAGCCACCACTGGCTGGAACTAACGCAACAGGATTTCCCCATCGTTCTGAACATTTTCTTTGCATACAGATGTTTCCCAGACAGCATCCAAACCAGGCACCAACCAGAAGCAGACCCATTTAGCTTGATGCACTTAGAGGTGCTTCAAATTTCAGAGGCACTAAAGAAAACGGTACAAAGGATTTGACCATCAACAAAATGCAAATCCTTTCCCCACGGAAATCAGCAGAGTTTAAAATGTGGTTGAACCACGCTCTATTTTTATAAAACACATTGGCAGTGTTTTATGATGTTTTGGTATCTAACTAAAGATTACAATGAATCAACTCTATTCCACACACACACACACACACACACACACACACACACACAGAGAGAGAGAGAGAGAGAGAGAGAGAGAGATGTAATAATTCTTGCTTCCCAAGCTATTGCCAGCCATCGATTTTGTTTAAAAATGTTTTTATTGCAATAACTTCTCAAATAGATTAAACTTATCTGCAAAAAGGAAAAAGAAAGAAAAGAAAAGAAAGTGTTTTCACAGCACAGTTTTAGGGCAGTATCATCTCAAGCCTAGCTGGCTTTGAAGTGATTGTCTTAATGGGATGAAACTTCTGATTTTGAACTGAGCACACTTTTGTTTTGCTTGTAAAGGTCTGGCTGTTTTTGTCTGTTGAGAGAATCAGACAAGAGACACTTGCTCAGGAAAACATGTCCCTGGTTTTCCCGTGAGGCATTCCTCAAACTTTCTCACAGGACTGCGGTCCTTAATTGCATAGTCAGCTAATTAAAAAAAGAAAGAAAGAAAGAAGGACTGACAGTGCAGTGATATGCAAGTAGTAAGGATGAACAAATCTGCCGATTCTGATTTCTCTCTCATTTTTCCTCAGCATAAAAACATAAGAAGAGCCTATTGGATCGGGACAATGGCCCAACTAGTCATAGAATCATAAACTGTAGAGTTGGAAGGGACCCCAAGTGTCATCTAGTCCAACCCCCTGCAATGCAGGAATCTCAGCTAAAGCATCAACGACAGATGTCCATCCAACCTCTGCTTAAAAACCTCCAAGGAAGGAGAGTCCACCAACTTCCTAGGGAGACTGTTCCACTGTCTAACAGCTCCTACTGTCAGAAAGTTCTTCCTGATGTTTAGTTGGAATCTCATTCCTTGTCATTTGAATCCATTGGTTTAGGTTCTACCCTCCAGAGCAGGAGAAAACAAGCTTGTTGTATCTCCCACGTGACAGCCCTTGAGATATTTGAAGATGGCTATCCTATCTCCTCTCAAGTCTCCTCTTTTCCAGGCTAAACATCCCCAGATCCTTCAACCGTTCTCTTCTCACAGTGGCCAGCCAGACGCTCCAATGGCAAACCCTCAAGCATGACCCAAGCACAAGAGCACTCAATGACCCCCCCTCATGGTTCCCATCAACTGGTGTTTGGAAGCAGCTGTGGAGGCAGAACACAGCCATCAGCCAACCATAGCCTTGTCCTCCATGAATTTGTCTAATCATCTTTTGAAGCCATCCATGTTGGGACCCATCATTGCCTCCTCGGTGAGTCCCATAGTTTATCTATGTGCTGCGTGAAGAAGAATTTCCTTCTACACGTCTTGAACCTTCCCACATTCTGCTTCATTGTATGTCCACAGCGTCTACTGTTAGTAATAATAATAATAATTTTTATTTATACCCTGCCCTCCCTGGCCATAGCCGGGCTCAGGGCGGCTATCACCAATAAAATTTCAGTAAAAACATAATAAGAAAAAAACAAAAAAAAATTTAAAATAGAGGTTAAGATGCAATTTAAAATGCAGCCTCTTTTTAAAAGTCAAAACCATAAGGGGAGGGAAACATAAAGGTCAGACTGAGTCCAAACCAAAGGAGACAGAGAGAGAGGGAGAAAAAGAATTCTCTATCCGCTTTCACCATGCCGTGAATAATTTTATAAACTGCATTCATGTCACCTCTTAGTCATATTCTCTCTAAACTAAAAAGTCCCAAAACGCTGCCATCTTTCCTCACAGGGGTGTTGCTCCATCCTCTCGTTAATTTTGGTTGATTTCTGAACCTTTTCCAACTCTACAATTCCAATCCCCCCCCCCAATTTTAATAGGAGTCTGACACATTTCTGCATCAGTTTGCAATCATTTTGTTTCAAGTCATCATGAAGATCTGCCAGTATTTTAGTGTGAATTTCTCCCTGAATATACACATTTTTGCAAGTAGTTTCCTGCCAATATAGTGTACTTTAAACAGGGCTTCCTTCAGATGTCTTCCAAAAGTCAGGTTGGGAGGGTGTTCCACAGGGCGGGCACCACCACCGAGAAGGCCCTCTGTCTGGTATTTATGTGTATGGAATACACACAATTTTTTAATGCACACTTTTCCATAATATACAGACTTTTGGACCCAGCACATGAGACACAGCCTTATAGTCTTCCCCACTAGGGTGACATGTCCTGAAGTTCTATTTAAATTATAGCTTCTTCTTCTTTTTCTAAATCAGCATGTGTGTATGTGTAATGCAAAGTGGTGTTCTCTTTCACCCTCTTTTCTTTAGCAATGCCTACGTGACTGCCCTAATTGCAGCCTAAATTGTTTAAAAACACATCCGTAATTAATCAAACACATTTTGTTAAAAAAGATATTTTAAATATAAATGTACTTACAAAGGCTGCAGCTGGCAGGCACCGTTGCAGGAGGGGTAAGCCTCTCCTACGACGGCCTTTTCTGCGACATAAGCATGCCTTGTTTAAAAACTATTTTGAGACTCGTGCATATCTATGCAGATTCAATTGATGAATTCACTGGCGGGTCAACGAAAACACAACAGATGAAACAGTCATAAGAACATAAGAAAAGCCCGTCTAGGCTAACATCCTGTTCTCACTGTGGCCAGCCAGCTGCGTATTGGAAGCCTGGAAGCCTGAGGGCAACAGCACTCTGCCCATTTGTGATTTTCAGTAACTGACATTCAGAGGCATGCTACCCCAAGTATGGAAGAAGGCTATTAGCAATCGCCCCTTCTGTGGCTTCCAGAAACTGGTATTCAAAAGCATTGCTGTCTCTAACTCTGGAGCAGAGCATAACCGTCATGGCTAGTAGCAGGCAATGGTCTGCCCCGCAGAGCACCTTAAGGTCCATGAATAACCATAGTTTAGAGGTTCCGGGCCCTAAGGAAGTCAGACTATCCTCCACCAGGGCCAGGGCCTTCTCAGTGATGGCTCCGACCTGGTAGAATGCCATGTCCCATGAGACTAGAGCCCTTCAGGATTTAACCTCCTTCCATCAGGCCTGTAAGACAGAGCTATTCCACCTGGCCTTTAATTTGAATTCAGCCTGAACTTTTATTTCCCTTCTCTTCCTTCTCCCTCCCCGATTCCCTGGAGCCTGACACATGGGGACATATGAGCAGTGTTTTAGGCAAGGTAATAATACATTATAGTGGTACCTCGGGTTACATATGCTTCAGGTTACATACGCTTCAGGTTACAGACTCCGCTAATGAAATGGAATAATCAGGATGAAACGGTGAAATCAGCTATGATTAAAGCTTTCTGGGAGATGATCTATAATGAAATGAAAAAGGTATATAAATATACCTTCTTGAAGAAACCAGAGGCCTTTCTCCTGGGCAGGGTCGGCCAATTGGTGCCAAAGAAGGACAGAACTTTCTTTATGTATGCCACAACAGAAGCAAGAATACTTATTGCAAAGTATTGGAAGACACAAGATTTACCCACTCTGGAAGAATGGCAGATGAAGGTGATGGACTATATGGAACTGGCGGAAATGACTGGCAGAATCCGAGACCAGGGAGAAGAGTCGGTGGAAGAAGATTGGAAGAAATTTAAAGACTATTTACAGAAATATTGCAAAATTAATGAATGTTAGAATGATGTCAGAATGAAATTAAGTGGTCTTAGCAGCAATGTTATAAAGGTGTATGTACAAACGGATTGTTAACAGATGAGAATCTAAAGTTATAAATATGTTAAGTTAAAGGATTAAGACAAAAACAAAGATGGAAAGGAATTGCTGAATTAACTAAATAGAACTGGAATACAAAAAAGGGAGGTGTGAGGAAGTCAGGGAAGTAAGGAAATGAAATGTAAGTTATGGAAAGAACGATGTGTTTTTGTTTTTTTAAGTGTTTTCTATTTTGTATTTTGTTTCTTTTTTTCCCCTTTCCTTTTTCTTTTTTTTTATATATGCAATTTTTTCTTTGAAACTTTAATAAATATCATTTAAAAAAAAAAAAAAGAGAACAGAAATCGTGCTCCAGCAGCACAGTGGCAGAGGACATCCTACTTTTTATGTTAATACAGTGGTACCTCGGGTTAAGTACTTAATTCGTTCTGGAGGTCTGTTCTTAACCTGAAACTGTTCTTAACCTGAAGCACCACTTTAGCTAATGGGGCCTCCTGCTGCTGCCATGCCGCCAGAACATGTGATTCCCTTAGGAAAATGTCAGAAAAGAACTGTATGCCAGTACAGTGGTACCTCGGGTTACATACGCTTCAGGTTACAGACTCCGCTAACCCAGAAATAGTACCTTGGGTTAAGAACTTTGCTTCAGGATGAGAACAGAAATGGTGCTCCGGCGGCACGGCGGCAGCAAGAGGCCCCATTAGCTAAAGTGGTGCTTCAGGTTAAGAACAGTTTCAGGTTAAGAACAGACCTCCAGAACGAATTAAGTACTTAACCCGAGGTACCACTGTATTAACATAAAAAGTAGGATGTCCTGTGTCAATCTGCGTTATCAAAACCATTCCTTAACCCGTCCTTAACATTAAAAACCATGAGTGCAGATCTGCCTAGAGTTATTCATGTGAGTACTGAGGAGCAGGATTACACCCCTGGTCCCATCTCCCAGGATCTATAGACATCTTCTACACATGCAGGTTCCCCCCTCCTTTTTTAAAAAATCCCTGGGAGACAGCCACACTCAAATGTGGAAGTCTTTGGGCTCGCCCACTCTTCCACTTGCCTTGTAACTTTCCCCTGGGAAAACCTGCTGTTTACAGCTGAATCGGAAGATTTCTGTGGATGGAATTTGTTCCAATGCAGACCCCCAGTAAACGGTGGGTCTTCCTGTGGAAAGTGATGGGACAAGCAGAAAACCTCTTGCATCCATGATTTCTAGTGAATGTGTGGATGAGTCAACATGCCCAACACCAGGGTCTGGGGGTCAGGAGTGCAGTCTCATGCCTCAGTGATACACCATTCACACAAGTAGCCCATGAATAGGGTTCACATTGGTTGTAGACCTGAGGAATGGTTGGCCACAGGGACCAAGGAACTTCCTGCAGATCACTACGATGCAACACTATGCTGGGATGCCTTTGAAGATGATCTGGAAGCTTCAACTTTTGCAGAATGTGCCGGCCAAAGCAGTAAGTAGGTCAACTTGCTGAAATCATACTGCATCAATTCTATGGGATCTGCACTGGCTTCCTACCGGCTATTGTGCTCAATTCAAGCTGCTAGTTTCGACTTAATAAAGCCCGAAGGGACAAAACAAAGAGGAGGACGCATTCTGGAGTGGAATGTTACTTCTTCAGCAGCTTGAAAAGCTTGCAAGTTCTTCAGATGAGAGGCAGAGGTTCTGTATTTTTAGAACCCACCTTATTTCTAATTTGCTTGAAACGGTTTTTAATATCGAGTTGCATTGTGTTTTCATATTAGTATTGTGCTTTGATTCCTGGAACCTGCTCTGGGACCTTAGAATGACGGACAGGCAATGAATTGCAATTAATAGCAATAGAGAGCAGAACGTTTTTCTCTCCCACATTTTCAAGCTGGTTTCTGAGTTCAAATCTGAAGGACAGGGAGTCTTTCATTTGAAGAACTTGCTGAGCACAGAGTTGATCTCTGGCCCCACCCACCACTGCCATGTGGCCCTCAGAAAGTTGCTCAGAAGGCAGTGTGGCCCTCAGACTGAAAAAGGTTCCTCACACCTGGGATAAGACAGCTTTCCCTGAACTTTTGCATGTCTCTATGTGTCTTCTTCTTCTTCTTCTTCTTCTTCTTCTTCTTCTTCTTCTTCTTCTTCTTCTTCTTCCAAAAAAGGGCAAATTTCCACATAGTATATGTTGGGAAAGCACATCATAGCATGCCAGCTATGCTGGATGAAGTGCAAAGCTATGCAAATTGGCGTCTAATTAAATAGCATTAAGCTAGTTGTGACGGCCAGTGGGGTTGCTGTAAAATCTGACTTGCTGACGCTAAAGGATCGGGTGCTGAATCAGCAACGGAGGCTGGCTTGCAATGTGATAAATAAAGACCCCACGTTTTGGAAGAGGCAGAGCAATTAGCTGGGAAATA